TCTTGAAACGGATAATTTCAAAAGGAACCTTTAATTAAGAAGAATGGAAGCCATTACAGGCAAAGCAACATCTAAATCCATTTAGGCAATGCAAGTAGAATTAAAGTAATAGTGACCCCTCCTCTTTGTCAGAATGCAGATTCTAGCCAATACACAAGTGTGAAAATGTTTCCTTTATCAACTGGCCTGAGAGCCAAATAAACATACATTCCCATGGCTATCTTCCATTAGACATCCCACACAGCCATCATAAATATTCCCCCGCCAGGAAGCCAGTTGTAAAATATCAGTTGTCACAGGTACTGCCAGTAAATTGCCTCCAGGGCCCCCCTCCTCCCAATTGAATGGCAGCTTCACTTTTAGGGATCTGACAACCTGTGAGATATGGTAAGTACAGGGGTGCTTCGCTCCTGCTCTGAAATATGGCGCAAGTTTCCATCGCCTGCCATCGCCCTTACCTTCTCAGGCTAGGTGAGGAGTGACTGGGAGGGGGGCAAGGGGGTGGGGCCAGCCAGTGGTGGGTTCAGCTGACGGAGTCACAGCAGGGGGGATGAAAGAGCTTCCTTTATCTGGGAACTTGAAATGACGCTTGATTTAAATAATATGCTAAAAAGCACCCAAAGAAGAAGAAAGAACAACATAATAAAAAACAGCCCCAACCCTTGCCTGTTTTTGGAAATGGTTCGAGACAGAACACACAGAGACACCCACACACACGAGATAGAAAGAGAGAGAGGGATACAGACAGAGACAGAGAGAGGGAAGGGAGGGGGGAGAAAGAGAGACACAGAGACACACACACAGAGGGAGAGATACCTGTTTCCCACAGAAAAGAAATCAGAGAGAGCCATAAAACCTGGGTAGACATGGCTGAGAAGGGAGTCATGTGACTGAGTGGGAGTGAGTGATGTTGAGTTGGCCATGCCCACCCAGGTTTTGTGGCTCCCGGTGTTTGTTTTCTGTGGGAAACAGATCCCGTGTTTAAGGTTGCAGTCCCCTGCTCTAGTTGTTGTTTTCAGATTCATTGTTATGTCATTGGTTCCCACATGTGGGAGAAGAAAGAAAGAAAATCATTGCACAATTTTTGAGCCAGCTAAAAATATATTCCATATTGTTTTAATTTGTAAGGTATTACTTAATGGAATGCATGCAATCTCCAATGTAAAGAGCAAGCAATTATGATACATCCACTACAAATTTTGCACAGACGCTAAGTAGTAATGCTATAATAATCAAGCTGAAAAGAAGAAATATAGACTGTGATAGACATTTTGAGAAAACTAGAGATGCTTATTAAATATTTTTTAATACAGCTTGCTTTGATTATTATCATCTATAAAGTCACTCTTTCTGAAGCATTTAACTGAAGCATACTCACTTTAGATATTTAGTCCTGTTGGTGCTGTCCAGGATTTGCTTGAAATACAAAGATGCTATGATGATTGGGCTGATTATTTAACTCTAGTGGGTCTGCATGGTCTATTCACAGTCTTAGGAAGTTTTGTCACAATCCCTAGTGCCATTAATTGCAAAGAGGTATCTGTATTGGTTGGTTTGGCTTGCTTTCTTCTGTTCTTCCATCCATTTGATACTTGAACTTTAAAAATAAGACTTTTTTTCCTGAGATGAAGCATGCACATGGCTCATGATTACTCCTTTTTTGTCCTGTCCTGGCTGAATGACTGAATATTTTACCTTGTAAATGAAGAGCGCCAGGCAGGGAAAGCTTTCACATTTGCAAAGCTCTCTTGTGGAGAGGAATCCTTTGCTGTATTTGTTTTGCCAATGTTCTCATTACAGCAATTAGAAACTGCAGTATTTTTTTATTTTATTTTTGGCAGCTAGAATCTGTCATTCTATCTAAGATTTTAATATGGCAATCTGAGTTGGTCTCTCCACACATCATCCTTAGTGAAGCATACAAACCAGCATCTGCATTTCCTGCATCGGATGAGAAGAGCACATCTTTCTCCTTCTGTCCTGACCATTTTTTACAGAGGCATGATTGAGAGCGTTTGGAACTGAAGTGCATCATGGTTTGGCTTGGTGGTGGCAGTGCCTCAGATAGAAAGTCCATACAGAGAGACAGTAAAGACAATTGAGAAGATTATAGGAAACTCGCTTCCTATATTCCTATAAGCAGTATTCAGGATACTGCTTATAAGCGCTATGTGCTTAGAGCTCAAAGCATTGTTAGAGACCCCACATACCTACTTTACGACCTGTTTCTGTTGTTCCCCTCTGGGAGGAGGTTTTGAAGTATTTCTAGCAGATTCTATAACACTACCAGATTCTATAACAGCTTTGTTCCCTATGCCATCCATCTGGTAAACTTGCAAGATTAATTTTTCTTGCCATGTACATGTATCTGAACTAGACTGTGTTGTTTCTCTGTTCATATAATATATGAGGGTATGTGGCAGAGGTGGGTTCCTACCAGTTCGCACCTATTCGGTAGAACCGGTTCGTCAAATCTACCGAACCAGTTAGAAGAGGTTCCACCAGTGGACCCGGAAAGCAGGCCACACCTACAGAAGAGGTTCCAAAAATTTTTGAAACCCACCACTGGTCCTTGGATATGATTATTCTACACTATCATGCTCATATTTATAAAACTCAGTGCCTCTGTGAAAGGTAAGGATGACTACTGCGTTTGTGGTACAATCAGAACATTGCGTGTGTGGAAGTTGTTTTAACGCAAACCAAAGATGCCTTTTAAAAAACAAGTTTACATCATATTCTTATGCATGCCAGTGCTGTGTGTGAGGTAATTTAAGGTGGTTCTGACAAGTGTCATCAGCATCTTCATATCCGGTCACATGGGCGGCAAGCCATTCCGACAAAGGAGGCCACACCCACAGAGTAGGCTTGAACAATTTTTGAAATCCACCACTGGTATGTGGGTATAATCATAATTTTTTATTTATTTATTTTGTCATGTTTATATAGTGTATATTGGAGGTGGTGACCTTTGAGAGTTGTATACAGCGGAATTTCATTTTAATGTATGCCGATTAGTGTACTTTTAAAATGACAAAAAAGTTATTCTAACTCTAAGTCTTGACTGTTTCTTCAGCGCAACACCAATCAGCAGAGCTCTTGATCAAGGAGCAGATATTGTGGTGATTGGAAGATGTGTTGATAGTAGCCTTGCGTTGGGACCACTACTTCATTCTGTAAGTGTGGATCAATATTTTTAAAATATTTTCTTTTTCTACTAGCCATTTTACCAGACTAAATACAGGTAATCCTTAAATTACGACCACAGTTGAGCCCAGAATTTATGTTAAGTGAGAAACTTGTTAAGTGAGTTTTACTCATTTTATGACTTTTCTTGCCACATTTATTGAGTGAATCATTGTTAAGTAACACGGTTTTTAAGTGAATCTGGCTTCCCCATTAAGTTTGCTTGTCAGAAGGTCGCAAAACATATCACATGACCCCAGGACAGTACAACTGTCATAAATATGAACTAGTTGTCAAGTATTTGAATGTCAATCACATGACTATGAGGATGCTGCAACGGTCATAAGTGTGAAAAATAGTCATACGTCATTTTTTTCAGTACTGTTGTAACTTTGAATGGTCACTAAATGAACTGTTGTAAGTTGAAGACTACCTGTATTGGTCATCTTTATGAATTTTTAGACAATTCTAACTGTTTTTTCTACAGCTGTTTTCATTACAATGCAGCATTCATTCTTCCTAGTATAATAAGTATGACTTGACTTGTCTTTACCTTCAGAAAAATCACACGTCTTCTTTCACATAGCTACCACTTATCCCAACCATAAGAATCCATAATAATTCCTGCAACAAAGCTAGCACATACACTACATAGGATGTAAATTTCCCTTCCCTTCTTCAAACTCACACATCCTTCCTCCCAACCCAAGCCCCATGTACATATTGACATATTTATTTGTTCCACCTTCTGGCAATAAACACTTTGTGCTGCCAATTCTTGTCATAAGGCAGAAACTAATGTTCTCCTCTTAGTGTGATATCCTTTTTTCAGTGCAGTTTCTTCCCAGTGCAAATCTTAAAAGGTGTAAGGACCAAGCATTTTTTGCTTGGATATTTGCTTCTGCAGATGCTGTATTGGTAGCATTGGTAGTCCTTAATTTATTACCACTATTGAGCCCAAAAATTCCATTGCTAAACAAGATAGTTGTTGAATGAGTTTTGCCTCATTTTACAATCTTTCTTACCGTAGTTCTTAAGTGAATCCTTGTAGTTGTTAAGTTAGTAACATGGTTGTTAAGTGAATCTGGCTTCCCCATTGACTTTGCTTGTCAGAACGCCTCAAAAAGATGATTATATGATCAAAATTCGGATGCTTGGCAATTGGCTCAATATTTATGATGATTGCAAGTCATATATACACTATATTGCCAAAAGTATTCGCTCACCTGCNCACAGAGGTACATGCCAGAAACCAGAAGAGTAGCTGGCGACGGCGTGCATGCCCACAGAGCAGGCTCTGCTTGCGACATCTGGCACATGTGTATAGATTTCAGAATCAGAATAGAGCTGGAAGGGACCTTGGCGGTCTTCTAGTCCAGCCTCCTTCTCAAGCAGGAGATCCAATACCATTTCAGACAAGTGACTGTCCAGTCTCTTGTTAAAAACCTCCACCGATAAAGCACCCACATCATCTGATGACAAGCTGTTTTACTTGTCATCACTGTTAGGAAGTTTCTCCTTAATTCCAGGTTGCTTCTCTCCTTGATTAGTTTTCATTCACTGTTTCTTGTCCTGCTCTCTGGTGCTTTGGGAAATACATTGTCCCTCTCCTCTTTGTGGCAGCCTCTCAAATACTGGAATACTACTATCATGTCTCTCTAGTCCTTCTTTTCTCTACACTAGCCAAATTCAAATCCTGCAACTGTTCTTCATATGTTTTAATCTGCAGGCCTTTAATCATCTTAGTTGCTCTTCTTTGCACTTTTCCAGAGTCTCAACATCTTTTTTGTAATATGGTGACCAAAACTGGATGCAGTATTCCAGGTGTGGTCTTATTAGGGTTTTATAAACAAATTCTTCATGTGATGTTGATTCTATGTCTCTGTTTATACAACCCAGGATTGTATTAGCTTTTTTGGCTGCCGCCACACATTACTGACTCATATAGCAGTGATCATTCACTAGGACTCCAAGATTCCTCTCACAGTTACTGTTTTTGAGCCAGGTTTCACCCAATCTGTACTTGTACCTTTGTTTTTTCCTTGCTTTTCTCCAGTTTGCCCTATTATTCAAGTTTGTCAAGATCTTTTTGGATCTTGAGCTTGTCTTCTGGAATGTTGACTATTCCTGCCAGCTTAGTGTCATCTGCAAACTTGATAAGCTCCCCTTTTGTTCCCGCATCTAAATCATTTATGAAGATATTGAAGAGTACTTGGCCTAAGATGGAACCTTGTGGTATCCCACTGCTTACTTCTCTCCATGTAGATATAGTACAAAACAATGAAGACTTGTTTTAGTTTGTCAGCCAGTTACAAATCCATCTGGTGGTGATGCTGTCTATCCCACATTTTTCTAGTTTACCAAAGTGTTGGTTGTGATCTACTTTGTCAAATACCTTGCTGAAGTCTAAATATACTACCGCAGTTTTCAGAGTATAAGACGCACCTTTTTTCCTCTAAAAAGAGGCTGAAAATCTGGGTGCGTCTTATACACAGAATACAGCATTTTTTTGCCTCCCGAAGCCCCGCCCCTTCACCAAAATGGCCATGCATAGCCTTATGGAAGCTTTCAGAGAGCTCCTGGGGGCTGGGGAAGGCAGAAATGAGCAAAAAACAGGCCTTTTTTGCCCCCCCCCCAGCANATACATACATACATACATACATACATACATACATGTTCTGACCCCCTCCTCCCTCCAGTAACGAATGCCGAGACAAGCTTAACTGGAATTTCACAGCACTTTATTAGCAGGAAACATAAACCTCGGTGGCTGAAAGCCCAAACATAACAAACAGATAAGAACCTTGGCAGCAACTTTGACTTCGACAAAGACATGTGACTATGTAGTCATGTGACTGGGGGGATGCCTATGTAGTCATGTAACTGGGGGATCAAAAGACAGTTCGGGCGTACTAGTAGCATTTCACTCCTGGTTCCAACATGTCCTAGATAGGTGTTCTGTAGCTACAGACCTAGAATTCAGGATGTTCATAAGGAAAGATATATTGAAACTGGGGAGGGTGTTTTTAGTGGAATGAGATTTATCTACCATTTCAAGAGCTGATGGCCACTGAGTGTTTAAAAATATTTAGTAGTACAGATCAACTGTGGCATGGCTAAGATAATAGAGAGCTTGTTTAATTATGTCATCTCCTGGGAAACTAGTGCTAATAAGAGAGAGAGAGATCCCCCACACACAAATAAATATACATATACAAAGAGTCCCTCTTTGAGGAAGATGGGCAATTTAGAAAAGTGAAATGTGTGTCTATATACCCATACCTACACACACGCACATATATTTATATGTATGGGTCTGTTTCTTTGTATGCCTCTCTGTGTGTGTGAGAGAGAGAGAGGGGCGGGGATGCATATATGTAGTGCTACCTTCCTCTTTTCCCTTTGTTGGTTTAATTGTGAAATATATAACCTAAGTGAAAGACAATACAATTATTCCCAATGATTTCTAGGTCACTAGAGTATTTTTTTCTGCTTACTGCATACAGTAATTGCATAGGAAATTTATAAAAACGGGAAAAGCGAAATTGGATGGATTATGGAGGGTGTCCATGAGCGACGTATTCCTATAATGTCTCTTTCATATTGTATACAAGTGAGCATGCATAAAAGAGGAAACTGGGAAACAGCTGAGCTATGGAAATCTGTTGCGGATTCTGCTTTTGGGATTTAACATTCTTTTCACTATTTAATTCTATTGCAATGTGTATTTTAAAAATGTGTATTTTTAAACATTATTTTTCTAGTTTGGATGGACTAGAGATGAATTCAGCCTATTAGCAGCGGGAAGGTAAATATCCTCTTTGTTTCAAAGAATACTGTTAATTTTAATACTGTTAAAATAATACAACAGTCAAAATCCCTGAAGCAATTAATAATTATGATGTTTCAAAGCCTCTTTCAAAAGGATATCAATTTAGATGTAATAAAGATTTGTTTTTCTAAACATTGGATATTATACAGCAGAAACTTTCAGTAAATGTTAAGGTTTTAAACTCACTTCATTAAAATTGTTTAAATATCAAATGTGATTTTTAGTCTTGCAGGTCATCTGATTGAATGTGGTGCTCAATGTACAGGTGGAATATTCACTGACTGGCATACTGTGCCAAACTGGTATGTTTATTGTTCTGTAAGATACATGGTGGTGAATATTTTTGTAATATATTTTAATACTTAGATTGCTGAATGATAGCTTTATAAAGACACTATTCAGCCTATGATCATATTAATACCTGTGCAAAAAATATCCCTGCAAAAACAATTGTGTCACTAAGTAAGATTATATCAATCTCCTTATAGAAATTCTACTAGAATTTCCATTGGAATGTGGCCTACTTAAAAATAAGTTAGAAAATAAACCAGTTTAGTCTTTTAAGTACAATTTTAATTTGATTATACTAGTCTTACAATAATATAGTTCCAACCTGTCCTAGATAAGTGTTCTGTAGCTACAGACCTAGAATTCAGGCTCTTCATAAGGAAAGATAAGTTGAAACTGGGGAGGGTTTTTTGTGGAATGAGATTTATTCACCATTTTAGGAGCAGCCTCTGAGTGCTTGAAAATATTCAGTAGTACAGCTCAACAATAGCATGGCTAAGATAATGGAGAGCTTGTTTAATTATGTCATCTCCTGGGAAACTAATGCTAGTAAGATTTTTATGGAACTTGGAGGAGAAGTTAAGACTGAAAAAAAAAACCCTGCTGGGTCCTGGGAGAGTGCAGTGGTAGATGTTATTATGTTTATTCCTCCTTAGAATTAATGCCTTGTGATGAGAAATCTTGCCAATTGGTACTTGTTTATGTGATCCATCTTTAAATAAAAGTTAATGACAATGCTGAAAAATCAATTGTGCCATTACAATCTCCTACAGTAGTCAATTTGCTAGCTCATAATGTGTTAGTGTGGTTCATTATAGCATAGCATTATTTTATCTCTGCTGTGTTTCATACATTTATTTGTAATAAGCTGTCAGGTTGTCATGTTCATGTCCATGAAGATGTGGCTGCAATTTGTTAAAGCTGATATAGACTATAAGCCACAACATCCTCCATTTTGTCCTTGTTCTTTCTTTCTGGCAACTCTTTCCCTTACCTGAAATGCAATGTGTTTGCAATCTCTACTGCATAATGATTGCAATATGGCTGACTCTGAATATCTCAATTAGTTGTGCAATAGAATAGAGGTAGGAAATGTAAGCACTGAATCTCATATAGGTTGACTAGGAATTGTTCTGAGAAGTGGGCAACAGTGGTGGGTTTCAAAAATTGTTGGAACCTACTCTGTGGGTGTGGCCTCCTTTGTGGGAGTGGCTTGCCACCCATGTGACCGGATGGGAGTGGCTTGCCGCCCATGTGACCGGATATGAAATTATGAATTAGTACTTACGTCGGTCCAAGTAGCTATTCAGAAGCTCTGGCATTGAAGCATGCAAGTCTTAAAGCTGTCAAGTTACAAGATCCTTGCCAGTGGTGGGTTTCAAAATTTTTTGGAACCTCTTCTGTAGGTGTGGCCTGCTTTCCGGGTCCACTGGTGGAACCTCTTCTAACCAGTTCGGTAGATTTGACGAACTGGTTCTACTGAATAGGTACGAACTGGTAGGAACCCACCTCTGGTGGGCAAGAAATGTTAAAGATTGCATAGTGGCTGATAACTTGGGAAAATACATTTTCCCAATATACATTTGCTTGAATTAAGCAAATGTATACTGGGAAAATGTATGTTTCCCAAGTTATCAGCCACTATGCAATCTTTAACATTCCTTGTTTTTTTAACCACCTAAACATTACTATGAAATACATTGATATACTTCCCATATAATTAAATTTTAATATTTTGAACTTTTAGGCATAACATCGGTTTCCCCATAATAGAAGCTTCTTCTGATGGAAGTTTTATTGTATCCAAAGCACCTGACACAGGAGGCCTGGTGACCTTTGGCACTGTGGCAGAACAATTGGTATATGAAATAGATAATCCTAAAGAATATCTCTTACCAGATGTCACATGTGATTTTTCTCAAGTCTCCCTTACTGAAATTGCAGGTCAGTGTCTGCTGATATTGGATTATTCTAGGGGAATGACGGGGGTGGTATACAGTTTTATTGTTACAGCCTTAAAAAGAATGCTTTTATGTGAATGTCATAACAGGAATCAGACTTCTGTGAAAGGTTTACTCATTCATAGGGTTCCCATTGTCTAAGTAAGGCTGACTGGGAAATTCTGAGAATTGAACTCATTCACCTTGTAGTTGCTAAGGTTGAGAAACACTGGTTTGAAGAATTATGATGTGCAGATTTTGATGCAGAAAGAAATGCAGAGTGCTGGTGTTGGAGTGAGTGTCACATCATACATATTTGCATTGTGGATGTTTTTTTTCCCATTTTAACATCAATGTGTATATGTAAAATCAGGTATTGTAAATACTGACTTTAAATTATGTTCATGTAACAGCACAAAACAGAGAACGTGAGATGGCGATCCATGGGTGGGAATCAGATAAAGAAGGTCAAATGATTATTATTTACATAGGCCTGGCAGACTTCATGACATAATTTTGCCTTTGCACAGATGTATGTCATGATGTACATGTTGTAATTTTTACCTCGTTGTGACTTGCCAAAAATAGTGATGAAATCAGCCTTAAACTGGAGGCACCCTATTCACTTTGACTTTTAGTTCACTTTTTAAAACTTTCATTGGAAAAAAAATCTCATTGCATAGTTCATATTATTAGTAAAAGTTAAATCTTTCCACTCTGTATTTAATCTGAATAATACAATGCAAATGTTAATGGAATGGAAGGAAGAGGAAAAAATGTTAGTCTTAAATGAAAAGTTAAATAAAAGTTTTCCCCCAAATTGAGTTCAACACTTGGTGACTTGGAACTGTGTAATTTTGAGGAGGAAAAATATAGAAATGATTTTCTAGTCCTTTTATTGGGACATTTTATCTATTTCCTAGCCTAGCATATAACCTTGAGATTTCCTGATGCTTTTACCAACTACATTTCTGCTTAGCTTTTTGAGAGTGGCCAATATCAGCAAATGCTGCTACTATCTGAACTCCAAATCAATAGACATGCAATGCATTCATAACCTATCAGGAATATGCAGTATTGGAATTATATTATTGCATATTCATTACATGTTTTAAAGTTTAATAACTTCCAATGTAACAATGTATGGAATGGAGAGAGATTTTGCAGTAATGGGTTCTGCATGCATCAAGTGAGAAAACGATCTAGAGATCTGGAAAAGATCATTCTCCAGGGCTAGCCGAGCAACGCCTAAACAATACATGTTCAAAATGACAGTGGGAAAGGAGTTTGATAAAAGGAAATAAACCGGAGTTATATTATTCCTTGACATTGATAGAAACTGGTTTGAAAAGGTCTGCCAGCTTTAATAACTATTGCTAATTGTTTATTTGCACACTGTACTGCTTTATGATTGCAAAGTCATTGATTTTGGCCTACATTTCTTAATTTAAAACTTTATATATCAATTTGCCAAACTTTTAATTATTAATACATTTTAACATTATTTTTTAATCTTTTGCATGCAATTTTAAAATATTGTTCCTCCACCATGTACTCATCAGAGCAGAAAGGAGGGATATCCATTGAATAAATAAACAAGGTTTTACTGGATTTATGCTGCAGTGGTGAAATCTATTTTTTTTCCCCTACTGGTTCTGTGGGTGTGGCTTGGTGGGTGGGTGTGGCTTGGTGGGGGTCATTTGACTGGGTGGCCATGGCTATGCAGTCATGTGACTGGGAATGGTCAAAAGACAGAAACTCACGTTAACAATATCCTGCTGGAGCAGGGGGTTGGACTAGATGACCTCCAGGTATCTTCCAGCCCTGGATTGCTGTGCTCTTTCAAGCCGCGTCTAGTGCCAAATTTGTAGTCCTTCCTCCCTCTCCTTTTTCCCTCCCTCCCTCCCTCCCTCTTTCTTCTTTCTTTCTTTCTTTCTTTCTTTCTTTCTTTCTTTCTTTCTTTCTTTCTTTCTTTCTTTCTTTCTTTCTTTCTTTCTTTCTTTCGCAACATCCCCGCCCCCACCATTTTTGACATAGCAAGCCTCAGGGAAGCCTCCCGGGAACAAAAATGAACCCCCTCACCCCTGTTTTTGGCCTAGCAGGCTTCAGGAAAGCCTTCTGGGAGCAAAAACAGACCACAAATGCTAAAAAAGGGGGGGAGAAATTCCTACCATCATGCAGCACAGCTAATCATCAGAACTTTCTTTTACTTTATTAAGCAGTTTTTCACTACCGGTTCTGGTGAATGGTAGCATTTTTTACTACCGGTTTGGGCGAACCGGCCCGAACTGGTAGCATTTCACTCCTGATATGCTGCCTTTGGTCAATGAAGCATTAATGATGCTAAGTAGGGCAGTTTTAATATTCTCCTTGCATGATATCAGTCCTATTGGGCAAGGATTCAAAGAACATGAAACTAACCTAAATATTTTTCTCAAAATGTGCTTTATTTGCTCAAAATTGCCTCATTAAGTAGTAGCTGCATTTAAACAGTGCATTTTAAAAAAAATAAGAATTAAAATATTTTAACCTTCAAATGAACTTCTAGCTTGTAAATGGCCCACTGTGACACATTTGAACTCCAAATGAACTTTCACATGAACTTTCAGTTAGTTATTCTATTAGAAATTGAACAGATGGAAAGTAGACAGATTTCTGAAATATCTTTAGCTATAAGTGCTGTGACATGTACTCTCGAAAAGGGACTGCAGGCCTTTCTACTTTAATTGTTTACTTTAGTAAATAGTTCATATAGCAGGATTAGATAAAGCATTTGGGTGAACTTAGAGATGCTCTTTTTAATATTTTAAGAGTGATTCATTTTGTAATATAACTGGAACCAAAATTCTATTAAAAGCAAAATACTATTTGTTTTTAAAGGTATATTTGAGCTAAGTAGAATGTTACGGGTACAATTATACTGCACATGAGTCTACTTAAAACTGAATTTCAGAAAGTCGATGTGATATAATCCCATTAAACTGAAGTGTGATTTTATATTCTTTTATCTTGTTTATATTTTTTCAGAGTAGATACTGGCTTTTAAATGCTTAAGTATAAACTATTCATAAAATATAGAATAAATTTAAAGAAATTAAAATACTATTCAAAAGAACCCACTGAAGTACAATATTCTGAATAGAACAGAGATAAGAATAGAATAGAATGGCATGGAATGGCATGGCGTGGCATAGAATAGAATAGAATAACAGTTTATTATTATTAGCAATAATTTTATTTAAGAAGCCATCACTCAATTTGGCCATTTTAGTTTACTTCTTGGTCTACAGCTTTTTCTTCTTGGAGATGGTGGTAGACAACTTGGATGACAGATTTTTGATTAAATACATTATTTAGAGCCCTTTCAAATTGGATTCAGGCTTGAGCATGGAATGAAAATAGTATTGATATTCTGGTAGATGGTCTACATGAAGTGTGTCAAACTCAAGATCCGCGGGCTGAATCCGGCCTGCGGGGTGCTTAAATCTGCCCCATAGGGCCAGACTGGAAATAGCAAAGGATTGGCCTGCATGGAAGGGTGCACCCTGTTTTGGCTGGCAAAGTGCAGCAGGTGGCTGAGGCCAGAGAATGGGACACCGGGGGAGGGGGGGGCGGCAGCAGGGTGCTGCAGGAGGCATCTATCCCATCTCCCCCCTCCTGTCCTTGGCTGGTTCCTGGAGAACTACAATGCTGATTTGACCCTTGAAGAAATCCAGTTTGACACCCCTGGTCTGCATGGTTTATCACTTATAGTATACGAAGCTCTTTGTGAAGTCATCTGCTGATTTGAGATGAAGTGCTATCAGTAGCATGCTGATACCCATGTATGCATCAACCCAAGAAGACAAGAGTCTAAGAGTTTGTTATCAGACTAGTAAAGTCAAATAATTATTAGATAAATAATTGTCTGCAGATTTTCTATTAGTGGTGAAGCCAATTGTTCCCTTCAGGTGTACCATATGACTGGGAGAAAGGGACTCTGCCTTGTATATTAAGACTTTGCCTTAGTATATAGATATATTAGTTCTATGTTAAAAGTTCATTTGCTGGAATTTGTGTTGTTAACAAGGTCTGTGTGAATATTGTGTTTGGAAGAGAATCCTTTCTGGAGCCAATTGCATAAGGAGTCAAAGGTACATAGACCCAAGGCAATCCCAATTTGTAATGGCTTCTTTATTATGAAAATCTGTCACTAGAAGTATCCCTGATGCGCTCCTCTCTGAACTTCTTCAAAAACAGAAAACTGTTTAGATTTGATATGTATTTAGTGTTCGGTTTTACAGTTAAGTAATTTTATGGTGACTATTAGGCTATTTCTTTATTTTCTATTTAGTTTGCCTTTGGATTTGTTTACTTTGGTTGCTGTTTATTTATGCCTTTATTCATATTTTGCACTACCCAATTGGATGTACAAGTACATGTACAAAAATAAGCAAAGTTGGATTTATTGTGATAATTCCATGGGTGTCTAGGTTTTCTGTGAGCAGTACTGTGTTGTTCACAGCAGTGGTGGGTTTAAAAAATTTTTAGAACCTATTCTGTAGGTGTGGTCTGTTTTGTGAGAATGGCTCGGCAGTCATGTGACCAGGTGGGTGTGGCCAACTTGGAAATGTGGTGAAACTCATTTAGTAACGCTCTTGCTTAGCAACCAAAATTTTGGGCTCAATTGTGGTCATAGGTTCTATTTCTTTCTTTTCTTCCTTCCTTCCTCCCTTTCTCCCTTCCTTTTGTCTCTCTTTCTTTCTTTCTTTCTTTCTTTCATCTCTGTCACACTTTCCGTTTCTTTTTTCTTCCTTTCTTCCTTTTTTTCTCATTCCTTCTTTCTCTTTCTTTCTCTTTCTCTCTTTGTCTCTCTCTCCTTTTTCTCTCTCCCTTCCTTCCTTCCTTCCTTCCTTCCTTCCTTCCTTCCTTCCTTCCTTCCTTCCCCTTCCTCTTCCTTTCTCTCTTTTTCTCTTTCTCCGTCTCCCCCACCTCTTCTTTCTGACCCACACATCTCTTCCAATTATATTCGTAGATATATTCTGTGAACTAAAACCGGTGCTCAATAAATCCTTTGATCATGGCATTTTGTGTCCTACAAGCCAATTCACAGAGCCCCCAACTCAGCCTCTTACTGCTCTGGGGATTAACTGAATATAGTTACTCATCCTGTTATCTCTTAGCCTTGGTTCCCGCCTTTTTAGCAGAGCAGCAGAGAGGGCTAATTTCAAACAGCTTTTTTTCCTTTTGCCAAAGCCCGATTTCTCTGCTGGTCGGCGGGCGACCTGGTGGATGTCTGAAGGTGTTGGGCACGCCACAAAAGGCATGCACATCATACACAGACAGAGACACACAGACACACTGCGCTTGCTGCAATGCAAGGTGCATGAGTAAGGGGGACTGGATCAGCTGAGAGACTGACAAAAAAGAAGCCTCTCTTTCTCCGCTGCCGCGGCTTGCAAAGTACACATGGATGATGGCCGGTGCTCCCCTTTTGCCGCATTCCTGGCCAGCCATCCAGCCAGGCAGGACTGCAGCCAGCGGGCCGTGGTAAATGAAAAGAGCGCCGGCCAGCATCCCCGCCTCCTTCCTTTGTATGTTGCCTCTGTTTCCTTTTTTGCCTCTGTTTCTCAGGTCGCGGCTCATAAACTGAAGTGGGGATGCTGTCCGGTGCTCTCTTCATTTACCGCAGCCCGCCGGCTGCAACCCTGCCTGGCTGGGAAAGCAGCAGTGTGGTGTGTGTGTGTATGTGTGACACACCTCGTTTCCAATGAAGGGGGTAGGGAATCCATGCTATTTCCTCCTCCTGCATGGATTCCCCACCCCTTCATTGAAATCGAGGCGGTTGTCAAAGAAGAGAGCAGCACACGCTACGTGGGCTTGTCCAACAGCTGAAGAAGGAACAGGAGGCAAGGATTCGGCTATTGGACAAGCCCACATGGCATGCACTGCTCCCATCTCTTTGACAGCCGCCTCATTTCCAATGAAGGGGGTGGGGAATCCATGCAATTTCTTCCCTCTGCATGGATTCCCCACCCCCTTCATTGGAAACACGGCTGTCAAAGAGAAGAGGACACGCGCCACATGGGCTTCTCCCAATCCTCCACTCCGACAAAGGAAGTGGGTGGGTGGGGCAAGCCTGGTGCAGACAGTGGGGTAAGCGAGTGAGTGGCAACTGGGCGGGCAGGCGGGGAGACCGAGTGGTGGCTGAGGGGGGCAGGGGGAGCAAGCAGGGGGGGGCAGGCCAGGGTAGACAGCATACCAGTACGAGGCCTCCGGAAGAAAGGGTATGGGAAGGCATGCTAAATTTCACCAATGCACCGGTATGCCCATACTGGTCCATATTGGTTGAAACCCACCCCTGGTTCACAGTTATGTTTATGACTAATGTTTACGTAGTTATCTCAAAAGTTTTCATGGATGATGAAGTGGGCTGCACAAAAGGAAATGATTGTTGGCATATGTATCCAAGAGACCTCAAATTTTCAGAAGAATACGTTTTGGGGCTAACATCTGATACAACATTCTCTGATAACTTACAGATTGAATCAAAATTCTAAACAAATAGAAATCACATTCATGACTAAGCCCCACATATAGATCTATCCTTTCTATATAATGTCTCATTTTTTGCTATTATCTATGAAATATAAAATATATTTGTTATTCACTTTACTGCATCAGGAAGTTAGAGTTCACATTATTGCAATTTAATTGTTTGATGTAAGCTGTTGCCTCATTATTGCTGCAGCAATAAATTTGTCTAGGTGGTTTCACTTAGTAAAAGCTAGGTATGAAAAATCTTCCATTCTCCCAGATGAACCTAATAAAGGGATTACATCCTTTCTAATGTACAATAAAAGACATGTTACATTGTCTCAATGTCCTCAAAGTCACAAGTACAATTGTGCGGAGCTACAGGAATTTTAGCCTACCTGCCAGATAATAGTAGTGATTGAAAGATGTTATGTCTGATCCTGAAAAATCCTTTCCTCAAGCTAAAGAAAGTAAAGGTACCTTGCTAGTTCCTCAAAGCCTACTTGTTTAGCATACTACTGAGGCTCTGAGAAGGAAAGTTGACTTCAGACTGGTGTTCAGAATAACCCAATCCTTTCTCTCTTTTTTAACTGTTTGGTTTTATTTGGTTACATCTATTGCTCAACTTTGTAAACAGAGGTTTTGATTTGTTGTTTTTCCCGTTTAATTATAAATAATCATGAATTCTTAAACATTATTTTTAGGCATTGACGGTGGTGCAGTGAAAGTTCAGGGAGCCAAAGGATTGCCTCCTTCACCATTTTACAAGGTTGGTTTTCATTGCTTTGCAATTATATAGACTAGACTTAGTTTGGAGACAATATGAAACTATTATGACATGAAAATTTCAAGTGTAATTTTTGTCATATAAAAAAAAATACTTCTGATTTAAAGTTAGGAAGCTTTAAATAGTTTAAATTTGGGTGGTGGTGGTGAACTAGAACAGCAATCCTCAACATTTTCAGTTCTATGGACCGGTAGTGGCACTGAGCGACAGTGGAAATGGGATGGTTTCGCGCATGCAACCTAATCCTGCATATGCGCAAATGCAACTTTGTGTGCCCGCCTGCTGCTTGTGCCGCCCGGTTCCCAATGGGCCGCAGCCTGGTATTGGCCCACAGACTGTGGTTAGGGACCAGTGGTGGGATTCCAAATTTTTTTACTATTGATTCTGTGGGCATGGCTTGGTGGGTGTGACATGGCTTGGTGGGCGTGGCAGGGGAAGGATACTGTAAAATCTCCATTCCTACCCCACTCCAGAGGAAGGTTACTCCAAAATCCCTATTCCCTCCTGATCAGCTGGGACTTGGGAGGCAAAGAATAGATGGGGGCGACGGTCAGATCCCTAAAAGTGATACTGCCATTCAATTGGGAGGAGGGGGGCCTTGGAGTCGATTTATTAGCAGTACCTGTGAAAACTGATATTTTACAACTAGTTTCCAGGCACCAAAGTGCCTTGAGATCCCCCCACCTTTTGGGGGAATGTTTATGATGGCCATGTGGGATGTTTCACTTTAATGTCTAACAGAAGATAGCCATGGAAATGTATGTTTATTCAGTTCTCAGGGCAGTTGGTAAAAGAAACATCTTGTGTATTGGTTAAAATATGCATTCTAACTAATGGGAGGGGTCTCTACTGTTTTATTCTACTTGCATTGCCTAAGGGGATTCAGGTGTTGCTTTGAATTCAACGGCTGCCATTCTACTTAATAAAAGGTACCTTTTGAAATACTCCGTTTCAAGAGTCTTCACTTTCTCAAGTTAGAGTGAGCCAGTCAGAGATGATATTTACCGGTTCTTCAAAGTTCCAAAATTTCTGTTCCCGGTTCTCCAGAACTGGTCAGAACCTGCTGAATACCACCTCTGTTAGGGAGCCCTGGACTAGAAGACTTCCAAAGTCCCTTCCAACCCTGTTATTCTGAAAGATATGTGCTTTGAAGTTCAGAATATATGGAATATAAGTAACATTTCATTAACAGAACAATACAATTTATATTGAATGTTTAGAAAAATAAATGAAATATCTGTAAAGCAACAGAATTCTTTGCAAATGCCATTATATGTGCAGGATGATTCGCAGAATATGTGCTCTCAATCAAAGCCCTGTTCCCAAACATTAAAAAGGCAGTTTTAGTCATGTGACCATAGCCACTACCTTCCTGTTTTTGATCCTCCTCTTAGGGATCCCTACATTTGTAATTATTAAAATTAAAGGTCTTGACTCTTGAATTTTGTGGAAGTTGTTTTTACAAGAATAATATAATAAGCTCTTTATTAGTTCCATAAATTAAATAAGCTTAAGTTTAACCATTCGTATACTGACAACATAATTTGCAATGATTCTATCAGTTATAATTTATTATTACTACTATAATAAGATAGACTATGACTATTTGATAAATTTCATAACCATAAAATTGAATTTTTATATTGTTAATTAGAGATTGTGTTATTAATTGTAAACCCTTTGCAACTATTTCCCCAGGTAAATGCCACTTACCTTGATGGATTCAGAGCTACAGCTTGCTGCCCAATGGGAGGACCAAGAGCAATAGAAAAGGGGAAAAGAATGGCTGAAAGTATTTTGGAAAGGTTAGATGCATAGTATATTCCCCAATTGATTTATTATACAGTAATAAATTATTATTTAGATTATCAGGATCCTAAAATGTAATTATTTCAAATGATGAGCAGTGTCATATACACCTAGTGTTTCAAGTAATGTATTACCATTATTGTGTTATAAATTATACATTGATGTTTATCATCATCCATGAATGTTGTTAAAAGGGAGAGTGGTTTCAGACATTGATGGTTTTCAAATCCTAAATAAATGGGTGCCTAGATTCCTTGTAAACAATGCTCACCATTCTAGAGGTAGAGCTTTTATCAGAGGCACCTCTAATTTGAGGCCACCAACAATACATCGTTATCCTACTTGGGATTTGCCCAAGGTATTACAGGCATTGACCACAGCACCTTTTGAACTTTTAAGGGAGGCTAGTCTTCACCTCCTCTCATGTAATATGTCATTCCTGGTGGCTATCACATCTGCTAGATGGATATCAGAGTTGGCAGCATTGTCGGTGAGAAAGGATCTCTGTGTGCTTCCTTTTAGCAGGGTGGTCCTACGGATGGACCCTGCCTTTCTGCCTAAAGTTAACTCCTTATTTCACCAAGCTCAGAAGTTAAGACTTCTGTTCAAGGCCTCAGCATTCTTTAGAAAAGCAATTAGATGTACGGAGGGCATTTATGTTTCTAGGACGGCTTCATTCAGGAAGACTGAGGCCGTTCGTATACTTTCTGCCATCAACTCTTGGCCACAAGGTGACATCTTCCCCAGTGGAGCATTGGCTAAGGGCTTGTATAGCCAGAGCATATGAGAGTCAGGCTATTCCAGAGCCCAGGGGGAATCACAGCCCATTCTACAAGAAGTGTGGTTACTACAGTTGTTTGGGCTACTCAGGCATCAGTAGAAGAGATATGTAGGGCGGCAATGTGGACAGTGTCGTTCATTCACCAATATAGACTGGACGCATACTCTTCTGCAGAAACAGCTTTTGGGTGGCATGTGCTTCAGAAGGTGCTTGAAAAGGACAGCACTTTGGGCCAAGGCAGATCCCACCCCTAGGACTGCCAAGGTTTTGGTATGTTCCACCCTGGACTCTCCCGTTGATACCATGGAGAAGGGCCATTGGTCTTACCTGCGAACACCCTTTCTCATGACAATCGACGGGAGATTCCAGACCTGCCCGGTTAACTGCTTGGCCAGTGTCTGGGACAGGGTGAATTTCGGACTGGATGGAGTACAAGATTCCACTCGCTTCGTCTTCATTTTTCAAGACACGGGACCGTTGCCAAGGAGGCGTGTCTTCAGAATTTCAATTCAGTCAACAAGCTAGCAGGCTAGAATAACCCATCCTGGACTCTCCCATCGATCGTCATGAGAAGGGACGTTCACCAACGCCCCATATGATTGTTCCCTGCAATAAGACAAAAAGATAAAAATCTGGATTGTTTCCAACATGTTTTCTTTCATTTTTTCCCCAACTATGGTTAAAAAAAGGTCCAATGGTGAGGAAGTGCTTTGATCCCAAAAATTCACATAGCAGTAAAGACCTTCGAAAAACAATGAAAGACAAACTCAACCAAATGTAGTCACCCTTTAGTTATTTATTTATACCCCTTCACAATTTACAATTAAAAGTTGATCTAAAATCAAATTTAAAACAATTAAACAATTAAAATAAATAAAATGAATAAATAACAGTAGCAATTAAAATCAACTATAAAAGCTTAGACAAAACCTAAGAAGAGGTTAGGGCCGTCAATTTCTACAATTTAAAGTCCAGAGGTAGCAACAGAAAAGGCTTTATTCCATACCACCACTAAATGAATTTGCAGGAATTGTAGCTGAAGTTCTTTAGATGATATCTACAATGAGATAGATAGTCAAATACAGTAGACTGCTTGATCATAAGCTATGTAGCTTTTTACAAGTAAAGACAAGCACTGTCTTTACTTGTTTTGCCTAGAAATGAATTGGTAGTAGTTTAATGCTTTAAGATATATGTAAAATAGTCTTTTGTATTGTCCCAAGAACTAACCAAATAAGGCATATTACATTGTCACCAGTTCATGCACTACAATTTTATGGTAATTGTTTTGCTTTTGACATATCAACCAGAGCTTGTAAAAGGAGTTCTGGAAATTACAATCTTCTGGTTTATCGCTTGGTGCCTTTAACCAGAACACTAGACTGGCTCTTGCTGAGTGATGTTTTTACTTATGATTTTATTATATGTGTTCCAGTGTTGTAATATAATATGAGGTGGGATAAAAACAGATGCAAATAAAGTAGAAAAAACAAAGATGGTATATTTTTTTCAGGACACGGATTATGTTTCATCAGCGGGGATATGAGGACTACAGTGCAGTTAACCTACAGATTTTAGGTTCTGAAGAAACATATGGACCTCATGCAAAGCAGAACATAGATGGTGTAAGTATAAAATGGATGGGCTTCAGGGGTTAAGAGGAAGTCAAGAAAATTACACCGTTTGCAATCTTCCATCCCTTTTACTCTCCACCATCATTTCATTTCCTTCGTGAAAAAAGATAGGAAGTGTGAATGGAAATAAAGATAAATATTTATATAGAATGCTTCTTTTGTTTGTGGATTCTAATCTGCCATTCTTAGATAGGAACCTGAACAGAAATGCAAGTTTGTAACTAAGCATCGATAAGAATAAAGTCATTTTCATTAATGATAATTTATTTTTGTTTATATGACACAGGCCTTCAGAGTATATTGTTTTTAGAGAACGGTGTAAGCTGTGTAATGTTATAGAAGAATTGGGATGTAAATATTTTAAATAAGAGCTGTGGCCATCAGTCATTGATGCTGAATTGGGTGTTGGTTTTTATTGTTTATAATAATTTGTTTATATGTTTTTATATTACAAACTGCTGGGACTGGTATAAAGATTGCTGGTAAATAAATAAAATACCTAGACAATATCATGTAATATCATGTTCTATGCAGAACATGATATTGTGGCATCATAATTTATTGTTTGGTTTTTTTAAAAAAATATTTACAAACATACAAAATACACACAGATAGAACTTAGGCGTAGACTACATTTACACAAGACATTGGAACTTCCTGTTCTTTCTAATAGCAGTTTCAAATCGGTACAATTCTCCTTATGTTATTTCCCCTTCTAATATATTTCATTTGAGTTTCGCCATTTTTAACCCTCTTCTAACTCTTTATTAATGTGCATATTTCAACTCCATTCTTTCCATCTTCTGATCTGTATGTTCTATTTTTGTTTCAATGTTCTGGATTTTCTGTTCATTGATTGTTATGGCATTCTGTATCTTTTCAATTTTGTCATCCATATTTTTGATATCTCCTTTCAATTCTCCCATTTCATTTTTAATTTCCTCACCATCCTTCTTTGTCCCTTCGTGATTTGTAGCTATCGTTTCTTGGGTTTTTGTCATTGTCTCTTGTATCATCTGGAGCATCAATTGCATACTTTGCATTGTTTGTGCCAGTCCCATTGTTCCTGCCATCAATCAGCCTTTCTCCAGCCCCAATGCGCTCTCTAGAGATCTTTGGTTTGAGGGTGAGGATGCTGCTGATATAGGGTTGGATGTTGTTTTTTCCCCTGTCTTCATTAAAGTAATACTAATTGCCAATCTTTATCCCTATATTTATCCTCGCCCACAGTTGCATATAAGTTCGACTTTACTTGTACTTTATCACAAATATCAGTGGTTATATATCTCAATATTTAACAATAATTAACCATTCTTAATATCACATTTCAATATCTAGACAATCCTATATATTATTCTATTTCTAATCCTTAACGATTATATATCACAGAATTATATATCACACTTTTATCTTATGCAAATAGATATCTTTCAGTTATATCACTTATACAGATATTCAGTTCTAATAATCAGCCTCTCTTTTCTTTCATCTACCTTGTGTCACTGTTCTTGCATCAGCCTTTACAGCTCAAATTTATAATCCACTAGATGTATTCACGATTGAAACTCTGTTCAAAGTTCAGCTATTCTTTGGAACAACAAAAAAAAAAAAAACAACCAGCCTGACTCTTATACTATCCTTTGTGTGCCTAACAGGTCTTCTCTCAACAGCCCACATATCCCAATCCCATTGTAAAAGCTGGCTTTTTGTGCTTTCTCTTCACTCTCCTATCGGGTTTCCCTCTATGATCACTTCTCTTCTAATATTCACGCTGTCACTTGACTGTAAAAAAAATTTCCTCCTTTCTTGGATTGGTGATGATAACAAATGCCTCGATTTCAACAGCTTTCTCTATTCGCTTCTCTCTTATGCAGCCGCCATCGCTCCAGTCTTGTCCAGATGACAGGATAGATCTTTGTCTGTTTAGTGCATTTCTCCTAGCCACGGGGGGGTGTTGCCTTACCACCTCAGTGTCTTCAGAGTTTCCCCCTGAATCTACCAATCCCTTCCGGTTCTGCAGTGCTCAAAAGTGAGCCCAAACGAAGAAATTTGGGTTACAGGTTACAGGAGCTGCCATTCCTCAACTCCAGCACGATGATGTCACCGCAGGAAGTCCTATAATTTATTGTTATCTTCACAATTTTCTTTTAATTTCATTAAAATTCTTTATGAAATCACATAACAATTTCAAAAAATTCTTTATGAAATCACATAACATTACAAATATAATACTATTTCATTGCAGTATGCTTTGTACTTTAAAATATAATACAATCAATTAACCAAATTCAAGCAAAATGGTTCCCTTATACATGGAAAGATAAACACAATCTGGCTTCTAAGGGTGCCTAAATGCTTATAAACACCACAAATTAATAGAGGCAGAAAAGGGAGGGAGTTAGAAACCAAATATCATTTTTGTTTCAAATGTTTCAATTCTTTTAAGTTTTTTTATCTTTCTACTTTTTTATGCATAAATAATTATGAATAGCATATGTATAAATAATAAGTAACAGTATACTGGAGAGACAGAAAAACAGAAGACAGAAACTTTTTATTGTGTAACAAATAGTTTGATTCTTCAGTTCATTAATTTAAGCAATTTATCAAGATTGACATTTTAGAAATGATAGTTAATATTAACTATTTAAATATAAATCATACAAGCCATACTTCTTGATCAGCAGTCTAAAAATAATTTTGTATAAAGGTCATTCTTGCTTACTGAAAAATTAGTGGTCACATATTCAGTATGTATACAGACTTGTGACAAGGCTGAATGATGGTATTTATATAGATCCTTAAATTTCCTACTATTGCAGCATCCATGTGGTCACATGATTATGATCAGGGTACTTGACCTCTACCTCTTGATTACAATGTTGCAATGTCCCAGGGTTGCATAACCATCACTTGCATCATTTTTTTGCCAGCTTCCTACAGGCAAAGTAAAGAAGGGAAGGGGAAGACAGCAGGAGGTTGCATATGGTGACCATGTGTCATCTTTTCCTAACCCATGATGGTTACAGCTTAACAATTACCTGTACAGGTTTATTTCTATTGCTAGATAATTACTTTTAATATCTTTATTTAACATAATGTTTAGTAGAGCACTCAATTTCACGAATTTTACAAAATAATGACGATTTCTTATTAAGGTTCCGGAAAGTAGTATATAGTTTAAATTACTGGAGTTTATGATTTCTGATTCACATTTTAGATTCTGCTTTTCACTTTTGAAATAATTGTGCAGTAAACAAATTCCTGTTTGTTCTATTAACCTGTGTTTTCTCTCTTCTAATATTTCAAAACAGGGTCCTCGAGAAGTTGTTATTTGGCTCGCTGTATTTCATAAGCAGAAAGAAGCATTAGAAATCTTTACCAGAGAGATTGCTCCAGCTGGAACAGGAATGGGTACATCTTCAATTTCTGAATCTCCCCATTTGACAATTTAAATTCATCACATTTTTTTGTTTGCTATTGTACTTTATAAATGAATTCTAATCGATTCTAATTAAGCTGTAGAAAAACTTATGGTCTTTTGATTTAAAAATTTGTGGTTTTTTGATAAAAACCATATTTTTTTGACTATAAGACGCACCAGTGTATAACACACACCAAGATTTTGAAGAGGCAAGTTAAAAAAAAAGTTTTTGTCCTCCACGGCCCCCAGGAGCACTCTGCAGGCTTCAGCAAGGCTGGAGTAAGGCAAAAAAGCCCCCATTTTTCACTGAAACAGGGGCATATTCCCTTTTCCCCAGCCCCGCTGAAGCCTGCAGAGTGCTTCTGGTGGGTGGGGGAAGGCAAAAACACCTTCTTTTGGTGAAAAACGGCCATTTTTTCATTAAAACGGGGGCATTTTTCCCTTCCCCCCAGCCCTGCTGAAGCCTGCAGAGTGCTTCTGGTGGG